GGATGGGGTGCAGTAGTGTCAGAAGTGACGGGTGGGCAGGGAGTGTTTACAACGAAGAAATACGGCGTTCCTGCTGGGAGAAGCAGTCCTGTTTCCTGAGCACATGGTGAAGGTGGGTGCTGCGGCTGGCCGGTGGGGTGAGGAGCTTCCAGAGAAAGCACCGCGGTGGCAGTGTGCGTGACTTAGTCCATGAGGCAGGGACCCCTGCCCTGCCAGAGAGCCCTTGGCAGCTGGGTGCCTGCCTGGGAGTCGGAGGTACAGCCTTGGCCTCCTGGGTGTCCTAGTCCTAAGGAGCTGGGACTGCAGACCTGGGGGGTCCTCCCAGCTTAGTGTGACCTGTGGGGGCTGGGAGGCCATGTAGGACATTTCAGAAGGCTTAGAGATATTTAGAGCTACATTTGTTCCTGCTGTTCTGAACACACTTTCCTGTGCCCCCTCGAGTTCCCCGTCCTGTACTGTAGCCACAATTTTACCTCTGTAGTTTGGCCAAGGAAGCCTTGAATGGACTAGCTTTTAGACACAGCCATATTAGTGTAAGGGGCTGTTCACTCTCACCCAAAGATGCTGTGTGCTCAAAACCCGCCTTGGCCTTGGGTCAGCAGATTCTCTCTGTGGAGAATGCTTTTAGCCTTGTGTTGTGTGGCAAGAAGTCTGAAGACGGTTGGACCACCTATTTCTTCCCTTGTGGCTCTTCTGGCCTCAGCCCTGGTGTAGAAATGGATGCCCTTGCTCACTCAACACGGCTTCTGTCTTTTTCCAGGACTCCTTGGCTGCAGAAATTGAGGGAACTATGCGTAAGGAGCTGCAGCTGGAAGAGCCAGAGTCTCCAGACATCACGTATGACTGCATGGTTTTTGTATTTCAAGTTCCCACAAACGGACTCGGGACTGGTTCTGTTTATAACCTAACATGTGGACCTCAGCCACCACCAGCCACAACTGTGGTCCTCCCTGTCAGGTTAAGAGAGATGAAACCTCATGTCTGACCTTTTCCTGCTCTTTTCTCATGATAACGGCTGTAGCTCAGCTGGTAGAGGACTTTCCTAACATGCACAAAGCCCTGAGTTCTGTCCCAGCACCTCATAGCACCTGGTGCAGTGGAGGGTCAGAAGTTCAAGGCCATCTTTAACTACAGCCTGTGTGAGTGAGTCCCTGTCTCAAAAGACACACCAAAGCAACAAAAGAAGTTACTGGATGAGCTTCTGGGAAGTGGGAAGGAGGCTATGTCTCCCTGCCAACCTCCACTTCCCCATGGAAAGCATTGCTCTAAGCAAAGAAAGCCATCCGCAGTAATGAGACCTGGGCTCCTCAATGGTGTGAGCCAGGCTTGTTTCCTTCTGGGGACTCCTGGGGTCTACAGCTCCCCTCCTAACGCCAGATTCAGGCTTCACCTCCCTGGATCATTTAGAAGGAATCTGGGGACCATGTTTTCTCTCTCCTCAAACTCCTGAGACAGAATTTATATGAGACTGAGTGGCTAGTGTCCTGGTGACTTCAGAGTGTGTACAGACCTGGCACCCCAGGGAAGCAGCCAGTCCAGAAATGTACCCACCCTTTTCTCCTTAAAAGAAGACACATTCAAATCAAACTATGGGTTCTGCACTTAGAAATGGTAGTTTCTACAAATAGCCTAGTGGGGTATTTATCATCTCAAGGTAGAAACTTCAGATTAGTTTGAAGTTTTACTTTTTCTTTTATATGAATGGTTACACATAATCATTCTGCAAATGTCTGCGGTTAGCACTGCCCTTGTGGAGCTTGCACTCTGGTGTAGATCTGAAAGAAGCAAGTATACTAAAGACAAAAGCAATACCTGAGGACTGTTATTTCCAGGTCAGGCTTCGGATCTGTGACAATCAGTGTCCCTTGGGGTGGCAGAACCTAGTGCTGAGCCTTTGGGCACCGCATCTCCCGAGTCCATACTGTGATGGAGGCGCCACACTCTCAGGAACACGTGAAGCCCTCAGTCAGCAGGCCACTCGGGCTCCCTGAGGTGTTTCTTTGGAGGTGGAGGTGCTAGCTCCAGGTTCTTCCTGAAGCGTTTGCTCATGGCTGCCATGTTCTCCCCAGCCACCAGAAGCGTGTCTTCGAGACCGTGAGAAACATCAATCAGGTGGTCAAGCAGAGATCACTGGCCCCCTCCCCTATGAACATCCCCGGCTCCAACCAGTCCTCAGCCATGAACTCCCTCCTGTCCAGCTGCGTCAGCACCCCCCGCTCCAGCTTCTACGGCAGCGATGTTGGCAACGTGGTCCTTGACAACAAGACCAACAGCATCCTCCTGGAAACTGAGGCAGCTGACCTGGGGTGAGCAATGGGCTTTTTTCCTGTTGTGGGGAGGGGAGAAGTGAGCTCCATTGAATTCAGACTCAGCCACCATCCAAGAGACTTCTCCACATCCCAGTTACCCACCTTATCCACGGCACTGGTATTTTCAAAAGGGACATCTCAAGTTGATATCCAAAGCATGCTCTTCCACAACATGCTGAAGGGGGAAACTAACAAATCCTCCTCCCCACGAATCATCGCTGTGGCCCCTCGGGGGCTTGGATGCTGGAAAGGGCGAGGAGGACCCAGGCTCTCTGGTTTGCTTCAGAAGGTGGGGTGAAGAGGGCTGTCAGTTGTGGGGTCTCCTTGGTGATAGTCAGTTCCTGTCAGCCCTGTGCACCCCAGCCCTCGGACTTCCAAAACAGGCACTCTGGATCAGTTGAGCCCTACGGAGGGCTACCCAAGATCAGAGATGGTTTCACTGAGACCTGAGAGCCCAAGCCCTTTCATCTAAGAGGCAAAAAGGGGGTTCCCTTGAATCAGCTCCCCTCTAGTACCCAGGAATAGCAGCCTACAAAAGGTCTTCCTTTTTATAACCAGGAGGGAGATTGTTATGAAAACACAAATTTGCTTATGTGCAGTTTCTCAGTTCATGCTGATAAAGCCATCTGTCTCTAAGAAAAGTCAGCTCAGGCCCACAGAAGTAACTCCTCCAGGTGTCCGCTCCCATCCTGGCTGGCCTGGTCTGAGACCATCTCCTGTCCAGGCAGTGGCCTTGCCCCGAGGGGTCCTCAGTGCCCTTTAGGTACTTACCTCCTGTCTTCCCCAGGAATGAGGAGCGCAATAAGAAGCCAGGCACCCCAGGCACCCCGGGCTCCCACGACCTGGAGACGGCACTTAGGCGGCTGTCCCTGCGCCGGGAGAACTACCTGTCTGAGCGGCGGTTCTTCGAGGAGGAGCAGGAGAGGAAGCTGCGTGAGCTGGCTGAGAAGGGCGAGCTGCACAGCGGCTCACTCACGCCCACCGAGAGCATCATGTCCCTGGGCACACACTCACGCTTCTCCGAGTTCACTGGCTTCTCCGGCATGTCCTTCAGCAGCCGCTCCTACCTGCCTGAGAAGCTGCAGATCGTGAAGCCGCTCGAAGGTGACCCCCAGGGGCCACGGCCCCTCTCTGTCCTCCTCTGTGACTCACTGTGGGCCCTGATCCACCACAGGAAAGCCAGCCACCTCTGTCACACCTATTCGTTTTTCTTTCGAGATAGCCACCCACGCTGCTGGTTTGAGTTCCTCTGAGGTGGCCTCTGTTAACAGTGGAACCACCGCAGGTGGCCCGCAGGTCTCTCCTTTTGTCCTTAGTGCCTTAGGAGCCAGCCTAGTGGCAGGTGTGCAGCTTCAGACCCTTCCCCGTGGCTGCCCACATGACAAATGTGGCCATTTGTCCTCACGACAGCAAACCAGTTCTAGATCAACCCAGAGGTCTGGGAAGGAATGCTCTGGCTTCTCAGAACTTTCACTGTCAAACAGCACAAGCCAAGCATCGTGAGTACCACCCCAGCCACGTGGAAGTGTTGTGTGTGTCCATATGTTCGGATTTGTGGCTTTCTGGAGGTGATCCAGGCCCTGCAATCTGCAGTGTGGAGGCCGACAGGAGGCCGACAGGAGGCCGGCCCTCGAGCGCAGCAAACCCCTGTGCGGGGCTTCACTCTTTAGTTAGTACCAGGGGCTCCTAGAAAACCTCCCCGTTCTTTCTCCCTTTGTTCTGCATGCCCCACGTTTCCCCAAGCCGTGGCCTCGTCAGGAGCCACCAAGTGTGCACTGCCCTTGCTTTTCCCACTAGAGTGTGAAGCCCATGTGAGTTGAAGACCTGCTTTAGAACCACGCATCGCATTTTTATGTGAAGCCAGATGTCTGCACATCTGTGTTTTCTCAGCTTTTATCACTGTCCCTTCTAAGGAGCGTCTCTGGATGCTTCAGTCTAATTACGCTCCACACTCATCCTGACATTTCAGTGCCACAGCTTGTTTCTGTCACACAGGTACAGACTTGTACCTGAGAGGACAACAATTATTTTCATTTCAAAAGCCTCTGTCTGTGCTGCCTCGGGGGTGGTGTCAGCCTTGCAGAACAGGCAGCCTGCAAGCTGAGGCCATGATTAGTAAAGACATGCGATGTGTCGCAGTCCCTATATTTCCAAAGAAAGAAGAAGGGCTATTTTTGGTTTTTCCTTTTAATAACGATGAATTAATTGTGCAATAGGTCCTTCCTAGCTTCCAGGGAAGGGGCGGCTCACTCTTTTTAATTGTTTATTCAGTTGTGAGCTTGTTTTCTGACCTCCAATTATGTCTGGTTTCCTTTCAATAAAACCTTCCATTTCTGCAATTTTATTTCTGCCTTTCTTTTCTTTTCTTCTTTTGTCTCTCAGAGTTCATTAGACACTGACCATCTCTCCGCTTCCCATACTTAACTGTGTTTCACTGGGTGACCTATGATATGTTTTGGGTTCATTTTTCAGGTGCATTGCAGGATGAGATTTTGAAAACTTAATTTTGACCAATTCATCTTTGTTTCTTCTAACTTTGTACCTTTATTTTTATGACAAGAGTAAGAAGAAACTCCACTTGTGTGTAAGATGAATTTCACCTGTGGCATCCTGCACCCCTCCCCCCAAGAAGTTGAATTACTACCATTAAAAAGTCATGTCTTATCACTGTGGCCTGTAACACACCCTGTGATATGGATCCTTTTGGCTTCATTTTGTATTTCTCAGACTCTTTCTTAGCCGTTTAGAGGACAACTGGTATGTTCTCTCCTCCTTCCCCTCCACATCAACATTTGCATCACTGTTGGCTCTAAGATGGGATGTTAGTGTAGCTGTGTCCCTGATTACAGTTTCTGTCATTGTGTTGGGTGAGTTGGCCCTCCTCTTGAGCCATCTCCCTTATTTGTAACATGGGCATATAGCTATCAAACAAGAATGTCAGACTTGTCCCTGATTCAGCCACCTGCGTCTGAAGGGCCCAGCTACAGCTGTTGACCCCTGAACCGTCATTATGCTGGGGTTATGGCCTCACACGCATTTCCATTGGCCTAGTGAGACACCGATAGAATATCCTTGATCTCTAGCAGTCCAGGTAAAGGCACCTGGGGTGAGGTCCCTGGAGACCATTGTCTGGGAACATCACTGAAGCAATCAGTGTCCTCCATCTACTTCTCCCTTTCCCATTTCAACCATCTTGCCAGTAAAGAACAGGATATTCAAGATAAAAAAAGAGATGTCTGTCTTAGAAAGATTGAGCTGGGCAATAGTCCTTCTCCTGTGTTCTGCCTGTCCCAGCGTGTTCTCGTGTGGGTGGGAGGAGTCTCAGATGGAGTAGGTGATGAGAAGTGGTCAGTAGCCCAGTGCTTTTCCCACTTCCTGATAGGCAGGAAAGAAGCCAGGGTGAAGGGTGAGACTGAGAAAGGAGAGGGCAGAGGCGGCCTGTGCTCGCCTGGGGTAAGGGCTGCTTCAGCCACCTTTAACTGTTCTTCCTGTGTCAGGAAGATTGCAGGGAGGGGTGGTGGAGCCGGGAGGTGGGTGGAATTCCCTCAGAACGGCTTGGGGCATGGAAGTGAGTGTTCCTCCCCTGCTCAGGTGCTGGGTTCCTTGAATACCTGGAGCCTCAGACCCAGCCAGGAAGAGCAAGTGCTCTTGAGGCCCACTGTTGACGTAACTGAAATCACAGCTAAGGCTGAAACAGTGTTCAGGTCTGTGGGACTGAAAGCACCTGTCCCACAATCCGCAGCCGCCATCTGGGCCTGCTATTGGCTGGATTCATGAGGTTCATGTGGGGGTGAGGAGTCTCTCTGCTGAGAGCTCCAGGGAGTAGATGCCAGAGGCCTTCATTTTAATCCTAGATGGGCTGCTTGCTACTTAATACCACCTCTGGCGAGTGCCTTTCTCTCCCCACACTCACTGTCCTTATCTGTGAAATGGAGAGTAGCCGACACTCAGCAAGTGCCTGATGAATGGTAAGCTGACGCAGGGGTGGGTGTCCCAGCTGGCCTTGAGGATGGCTTCTTCCTGTGGCCTGTGAGAAAGCACTGGATAGTGTGATGGGGGCTGTCAGAGGTGGCGTGGGTGTGGGGCCTTCCTGCTGGGCCTGCACACCGACCTGGAAGTTCTGCTCTGGGTCACTGACACCACCTGTTCAGCTGATGACCAGCCCCTGCTGCCACTGAGCTCACGTTCCTGGCCCACGCACTGGCTCAGTCACTCAGCTTCAGGAACTTTCCATTCTCCCATTTGTACAGTGGGCGAGAGTCCCTCCTGGGGAGTTTGAGGCGTGCATTGCTGTGCTTGTGTGTAGAGTCCGGGAGTTTCTATTGGAATGTGGAGCTCGTGCGCCATCATTTCAGATGCCAGTGAGCAGAGGCAGAACGCAGTCTTCAAGCTGTCGTTATTCAGTGAGCTGACAGTGGAGAAAACGAGAGGTTAGCCTGCCAGAGGCCTGTCTTCCATCTCATCTCCCGCCAGCAAAGTATACAGGGAGGGGAAACTGAGGCAGCCCATCCTTCCATAGTTTAGCCTTGTCTCTGAGTTGCACAGTGCTGGTGTGTTTTCCTAACCCTTCTGATATTCTTCCTGCGTCATCTCTGTGTAGTGGAGGTCTCGCACACGTGAAGGCTACCACGTCTTGAGTTCCTCCCAAGTCCCATTTGGATTGCAGCTAGGTCAAAGAAACCCTTACAATGTGTGTATGTAACTACTTACAACCTGCTTTGCAGATGATGCTACAGTATAAAGTTAGGATGTGGCTTACACCAGCATTGGGAGACAGAGGCAGGCAGATCTCCGAGTTAGAGGTCAACTTGGTCTACAGAGTGAGTTCCAGGACAGCCAGGACTACACAGAGAAACCTTGTCTTGAGAGTCGACAATATAGACGGTCTACAGTATAGACGGTCTACATATAGTGCCTCAGCCTGCTGTCCTCCATCAACACCGTGCATGTAAATCACGCAGGGACATCATACTGTCATGTCCGATATGAGCTAGATTTACGAAACAGTGGCACTTTTGAAGTTCTTGGCATACGCATTTCCCTTTTGGTTAGCGATTTCCTTCTGATTTTCAACAGATATGGACCTTAAGGATGGTTTTTGGTCTCAGCGCAGGTGCCATTTGAAGCTGAGTCTTCTGCCTGTGGGGACTCTGGGGATCACTGGAATGCTTAGCTCCACCCCTGATTTCTGCCACTAGGTGGCATTAGCATCCTTGTTTCTCCCAAAGTTGTGGTCACCAAAAACAACTTGTATTTTGTTCCAAGATAAGGACTTCTGGAGTCCATACAGACATGAATATGTTGTTTTGTTTGGTTTTTAAAACCTCTTTGTTGCTTTGTTTTTTCCTTTTGCTCACAGAGGGTGTTTTGTTTGTTGTTTTTTGTTTTCTTTGTTTTGTTTTTTTTTTAATTCTGTTCAGTAGGCCCAAGTCTGTTAAGGGGGATGAAATGTGTATCCTTAAAACTGGCATGGACCTGGAAGGGGTGTTGAGGGTGTTAGGACTCAAAGTGTGCTCTTTGCTTTTTCATTTTAAGTGGGGTTGAAATCGTCCATTTTCAGAATCCTTCTCAGACCTCCATGGCAAGTGGGAGGACCCAGGTGTTTGGAAGCACTGAAGGCCTGAGCTGCCCCTCACCCACCCCAGCCACCTTTCTGTCTGAGATATCACTTAGCTCCTCAGCACCCAGGGTTTCCAGACACTCCTGGCCCTGTGCACCTTCTTGGTAGAAGGCCTGGGACACCTGAGGTCATCAGGGACACTCTGTTATTACAAACCCCACAGGCTGTCACCTGAGTCCTAGGGTCCAGTGTCACCTTGGAGACGGCTCCACAGCTTTAGGCCTCTGTGACGTCTTACCTTGTTCTTGAACCCTGCCCTCACCTCCCTTCCTTCATGGCTACTCTTTTTTCATAACTTCCGTTTGCAGGCTTGTACCGGAGTGTCCCGTGGCTTCCTGGTCCCTGCGTGTTCTCACGTGTTGTTACAAGCTTCCTGTGGTTCTTGTCTGGCCGTTTCCACCCTCTTCTGTCAGAGGGATGATAGTGTGTTAAGTGTGGCCTGGGGTGCTCTAAACACTTGTAACCAAACGTTGGCACCCAGTGTATAGCATGTATTTTCCTTTAGAAATTGCTGGTTCTCTACAGTGGTGCCCCCTCCTGGTACGGCAGGGGGATAGCGCCATTGTCCAGTTGCAAGGGTCAAGTGAGCTCTATTCCAGGCCCTCCCACAGGCCCACGCAAGCGCAGGTGTGAGGGTGGGGAACGTTTGCTCCAGCTGGCATCCTAACCCCCTTCTCCCCTTCTCCTCCCCTCTCTCTTTTCTCCCACAAGGTTCAGCCACGCTTCACCACTGGCAGCAATTGGCCCAACCTCATCTTGGGGGCATCCTGGACCCCCGTCCTGGTGTGGTCACCAAGGGCTTCCGGACCCTGGACGTTGACCTGGATGAAGTGTACTGCCTTAACGACTTTGAGGAAGATGACACAGGTGACCACATTTCCCTCACGGGCCTAGCTACCTCCACGCCAGTTCAGCACGCGGAGACCTCAGGTGAGAGGTCCCGAGCACTCAGGACTGTCTCAGGCAGCAGAAGTCACTCCAGCCAGCCTCAGGCTTCCCCAGAGGAGATGCACAAGCCGCCAGCGCCAGCCGGCCTGGAGGAGGAGGAGGAGGAGGGGTCTGGTGAGGGCGCCTCAATCAGTCCTGTAAACCTGACACCTCTCCCGGACACAGAGCTCTGGGCCTTGCTCACCTCTGTTCCTGGCACCATCCGTAGTAACTCTGTGTCTGTAGCTTCCGCTCGTCTGTGTGGGTGACAGGGAAAAGCTTGCCCATCGTCAGGTTCTGTTTTTAAAACAGAGACCAAATCCTCCACTTTGTGACAAGTAGGCACCTCTGCCCATCTTGGAATGGAGGTGTGTGGCCCAGCAGGGCCCTGCAAGTGGGAGCAGGAGAGGCTGCTAAAAAGTGGGATATGGTGCCCCGAGAACAGGTGCTCCTGGATTCTGTAGCGGCCATCCGGCCCTGACTCTGATATGGCCCTTTCCCATATCACCTTGGGATTTCCAAAATGAGCAAGATGAGCAATTTTAGGGGAATGATGAAGAGTGGGAGGCAGTAGGATGTGTGAAAATCAGACAGAAGTCCAGGGGATGGTTAGATGGTGCCTGTTGGCCATGCCAGCTCTGTGAAGCTTGTGATACTTTCATGTATTCAAGTGTTCAGCGACACTCTTTAACCAGATACATTGTAAGAGATGTCATCTCTGAACAGAGAGGATGCTAGGTGCTCTGGCTAGCCCCTGTCCCACCACCAGGTACCAGCAGTGTGACCATGGGTGTACGGGGTGACCCACAAACCTCTTGCACTGGGGTGGGAAGTTTGTGCTCAGGGCTCCTGGGACCTGTGGGGCATTATGTAGTTACTGCTAATCCACATGCTCCCTTTGCTTTGTTCTTGGACCTCCTAGATCATTGTCCTGGGAAGACAAAGAACTCAGGGTGTGAGAGAAGAGATGAGTGACCCCAATACTGTCATCCTCTTGACATCCCCAAGTCACTAGATGCAAAAAAAGGATGTTTGCCTTTCTGATTCATAATTTTAATTTGTAGAGGCCACAACATTGCCATGCAATCCAAGGCAGGACGAAGCCAGGGTTTCATGGTGTTGCCTATCCCCAGGTTAATTGCAGACAGCTGTGGTCAAGGGGCTTGACTTGAACCAACTGTTTCTTTAAATGTCAACTTTAGAGGTGTATCACAACCATTTATGTTTTGAGTTTTTAAAGTAAGTTACCAAGTGAAGGGTATAGAGAGAATGAGCATTCATCCTGTGAGATCTACACACTCAATTAGGCCTGGTGGTGTACACTTACAATCCAAGCACTTACAGTTCCCAGGAAGCTGAGGCAGGAGGATCTGGACTACATAGTGAGATTCTGTTTCAACAAACAAAAGGACAGGACAGCTAGCTGCAGCCTCGAGTCTTGATTTGTTGTCAACACTGGGTCCCATCTGAAGGCAGACAGCACCAGCATCTGGCTAACTGCCACGGAGAAAGGATAGCAGTCAGAGGTCACATAGATCCTTCCTAGAGCTGGAATGCCCATCCCGGAAGATGAAAGATGCACCCCTCAGGTGCTTTGGGGGGAAGTTGTTCAGAAAGAATAAAATCAGTGCACCCAGAGCTGTGTGGGAGGTCAGAGGGTGAGAGCCCTGGTTATAAGAACGCGAGGCCCAGCCTCTGCCCTTCCTGTGACAGTGGACCTTCTGGCCTAATGCCCCACCCCTCATGGAACCTTATAGTATATTCAGCCAGCAACTTGAGTTGAGGGCAGTCAAACACATGTAGAGCAGAAACTATAGAAAGGTCAGGCTCAAGGTGTGTGCTCCCAGCATAGCTAATCATTTGTTCAGGGTCGTTCAGGAAAGGTGTCCTGTTGAGCAGTGAGTTCTCTAGAGCTTGTTTTCTTCGTGGGAAGCTCTTCTTTGGAAGCACTGTGCAGAGGGAAGGTGTGCAGAGGGAAGGTGACTCCTTTTCTCCACTGAAATGACCGATCTGTTCTGCTGTCAGGAGTGGGAGCACGAGACTCTGCCACCCCGAGACAAGCCGGATACCCCAAATGCTCCTTATGCACAGTCAGGGAGTGTGGGTAAAGGCTGATGGGTCTTCATGAGAAGGCCTGGAGCTCCACAGTCTTGGGATTTATGTCCCACTGGCCTGGTCTCTGCTGGCCCAGTGCTGACACCTGAGCTCCCAGAGCTGCTGTGTGCTTGGAAGCATCTCAGAGGGCAGAAGTCTGAATCAGAAGGCAGTTGACAGTCTTCCTTACAGTTGGTACCAGCATGGGCCAAGAATAGGAAGACTCACCTAGTAAACATTTTCATTAGTGTATTTTAATGTACCTTTTGAAGCATCCTGTGATTTTTTTCCCCCCTTAATCTCATGTTTTGAGAAGGCTGGTTCCATGCTGTTGTGTTGTGAATGATCTAGAAGATTAAAATGGACCACTGAAAACAACCTTTAGGTCATAGCTTTATTTATTTTGATGATTGTTTGATGTCCTGAGTTGACACAGGAAGCACATTTTTCTCAGGATAGTCATTGCCGGGTCCCTGGCACTCTGTTTTAGTTCATGGTTAGGAATGGTCTGCATGAGGAAAAGGGTTAATTAGTCCACTCTGTAGCTGGCTGGTGGGAGAGGCTCAGGCTTGAGCTCAGCTGAATCTCCTGAAGACCCACAGGGGAAGGAAAGATTAAACCAACACCAGAGATGAAGTCAAAAGTCAGTTTGTCTGTCACTGCCATACATGGAGATAATACCCTGAGACTGGCTCATACTTTATCCACCTGTGACCCCCGAAGTGCACATGACTCACAATTGGGCCCCAAGATCCTGGCATCAGTGTAGACCATTGAAATCACACTCATTCAAAACAGACCTCAGAAGTTCTGTTCTCAGAGGCAGAGGTCAGGAAACAGCCTTTGTACCACTTCCTTACCCAAACACAGATCCAAGCTGTGCTCAGGAGCTTTCGTGGAGTGAAGGAATAAAGAGAATAGCCCGCCATGGGAAGAAGTCTGGCCAGTGAGACATTCCTTCAGTTCAGTCACAGAGCGGGGGGGCCCCATGAGAGCAAGCCCTCCTGAATCTCTGTCACACTCAGTCCCACCCCTGTCCACAGAGGAGGCTGCACATAGCTTATATGAAGAAACCGGCCCAGTGGGTCTGGAAGGGAAGGTCGGTATAATTGACTCATAGACCTTCTGGTGTCTTTGGCAGAGGGAAGTGCCTTCCGTGTTCCCCATGGGATGGGGACATTTTCTCAGCCCTGACTCTGCATCCTTGAGTCCTTAAAGAGTGAGTGGTCTGCTCACACCCACTCGGTCAGAACATGCTAAGAAAGTCTAGGGCTGTTTCTAAGAGCACTTGGTGAACTGAGCGTAGCAGGCCATCCGCAACCGGAAGTAGAGCAGTGAAGGAAGGGAATGGAAGAGCGGACTCCTCAAAAAGGGACAGTGCAGGCATGGCCCTGCCTAAAACTTAGAGAGCAGAGCCAACTGGAGTGTCTCCCCTCCAGGACACTAGAGCTGCCGTGTGGCTTGCTGAGGCTCCTGTGTGGCCCTGCTCATGTGGAGAGGACTTTATGAGCATACAGGGGTGTTCAGACAGACGACAGCCACCCCCTTGAGAAGAATGGGAGGCATACTCTCCAATCTGCCCAAGTAGGCGAGGATTCTTCCTGACCTCCGTGTCAACCCCGGAAGGGAGGATGAGGAGCCAGCAGCGTGTGCTCTGGCCTTGTTAGTAGAAAAAGACCCAGAGAGAGTTTTGCATTTGCTCCTTTGACAGTTTTGCCATGTTCTAAAACGTTCTTTTCCTCCAGAGGATACCTTAGAGGCGCTCACAAGTTGTCCCTGCCCTCTCTGCAGGATGTTAGGAAGTGGTTCATCTCCTAATTCATACACATTTTTGTGTTTAAACAGATAACAGGCAGTTTGCTATGGTGAGAATAGAATTTTTAAGTTCACAAGAACTAAACGTCAGTTGTATAGAACCAGAAAAAGATCTTATGATTCTTTTCAGTCTCCACAATGGAAACTTCCAGAAGATCTACCAGACTGGGGTGTAACAGGCTGGGAGCCAGGGGCTTTCACAGAGCTACAGGACGAGACTAGGGCTGTTAAAAGAAACATTCAAGAATCGAGAAAACTGGGAATGGAGGGAAGCCAGAAGCTAAGAGTTTAGAAAGTTTTGTCACTAAAGTACAACAATTCATAGTTTAAAACCACTTTTATCTTGGTGGTAAGCTACCTGTCACCCCAGCTCTCAGGTAGCTGAGGCGTGGGGATTATGAATTCGAGGGCTAGCTTGAGCTAACATAACTAGACTGTGTGTCAAAACATTTTTGCATAGTCTCATTTGAAACCAGTGTGACCATGTCCCTGTACGGAGGAAAGCGCAGGTTAACTGTGCCACATCCTTCCCTCCGTGCTTGTACGAATGTGGCCATTGGGCATGTGGTTCATACATGATCTTTCACAGGTGCTGTTACATTATGAAACATTTTTCCATGCCCTGATGCTTGTCTTTTTAGGAAGAACTCTAAAACATTGCTTTCGCCTCCTTTTTTGGCTCATGAAAAGGCAACCTTCCCATCCCAAGCAGGACAATGCCGTTACCAGATGGGTACTCTGTAAAAACGAAAACCGGTCATGTGCTTAGGGCTTGACTCAAGCCAGGCAGGCTGTTCAGTTTGAAGAGGGCAGCTTTTATTTTCAGCAACTTGGGGGTTGGGGGTAGGAAAGACCCTTGGGTACCACTGTTGATGTGGTGGCCACTACTGAAAGTGTGTGTGTGTGTGTGCTCGCGCAGAGGGTGGGGAAGGAGAAAGAGTTCATAGAAAGTGCACAGCGGGTGCAAATCACATGACAGCAGCTTCACACCCACATGGTCAGGTCAAGGAAGGGGGGACTCGCTTGCTTCTCTCGCCCCAGGCGCCTACTTCCCACAGAAGGCACTCTGTGCACTGTAAAGATGGGGTCCCTTTTTCAAGAGTTCCAGATACGTTTGAAAAAAATGTTTTTGACATTGTTAGAAGTTATTTATGCGATCTTTAACGAACATATCTTGGGGCTGAAGATGTGGTTCACTTGTTTAGCGTACACAAAGCCCTGGGTTCTATCCTCATGACTGTAAACCAGTGGTGGTGCACACCTATAATCTCTACACTTGGGAGGTAGAGTCAGAAGGATCAGAAGTTCAAGGTCATCCTAGGCTGTCCAGTGAGCTCTAGGCAGCCTGGGATACATGAGCCCCTGTCTCAAAACAACACATAGCAGAGCGTGTGGCGTGGCCAGGGTCTCCGCACTCTCAAAGGTCTATGAAATGGCCTGGGTTGTGCCACGTCTCACGACTCCAGTTGCAGCAACAGGCTTCAGTGCCTCTGCATGTGCCCGCTGGCTTCTCGGGTGTTGTTCTGAGAGGAGAGTGGTTAATCCGGTGTAGTGTCAGCTTGCCCCTCCCCAGAGGATAGACAAAAGGAAGGGCTGGGTGAAATCTCTGTCCAAATGTGGCTGCCCGATGGGCAGTCCAGTCATCTTTAAGTCCCCGCAGGGCCCTTGAGCTCAGCAGAGCGTCTGCCATACTCCTCTCCTCTGAGAGCTTTGGGCTATGGGGAAGTAACAACCTTGCAGGGCAACAGCCACCCTGGTGTATGCACATCCCCTCCCCGCCACCCCGCCACCCCGCCACCCCGCCACCCAACTCTGTTAGAGCCGCAGGACTGTGTCAGGGGTGACCTACCATGGGGCCTAGCCGCCTCGCCGTAGGCAAGCAGGTAGTGTTACCTCTCAGCTAGCTTCACTCCAAGCAGAAGCTCACAGGCCACACCACAAACAAGAACAAAGTGAGCCTCGACCTTCCCACGCCCTTCCACAGCTGGCCATAGCAGTGTTAGCGCGTGGTACACCAGTCTTCTTTATTTCACCCCTGTGGGTCTCTGACAGCCAAGGCTTAGTTGATTTTAAACCTTACCAGTTCTTGTATCAGCATCAAAACCTAGAGCGAAAGACCAGCTAAACGTAGAGTTGTTAAATGAAAGAAAAATCCATGTCCATCTAAAATGTGGTCAGGTACCAGAGTGGGCTGTTGTCTTAGTGAGCACAAAGCCCAAGTCAGCACAGGAGTCCGTCCACCTCTGCAAGCGCCTGGCTTGCTTAGTTACCAACAGTAACCTTGGCCCTGCTTGTAACCTGCCACTCAGCCTTTGGCTGTGATCAAGTGTGTCATCTATCCGTCCCCATGATGCCCGAAGCCTTCCAGTCAGGCTGAGACAAGAATAAGGACTTCACAGGAAGTTGGAGTATCATTCCAAGAAGCCCTGCCCTTTGTGCCCTCAGAATGAAGCCTGTGAGGTAAACAAAAGTTGGACTTGCAGTTGAGCAGGGCTTTGGTGTGCAGTGTGGTCTCGGCAACTCCAGCTTTGAACCCAAGCCCCAACTGCAGAGCGTGTTTTCATGTCTGGATTCTTCTTTTCCTAAAGCCAAGAATCGGGGCTCAATGTTTTGCTTCTCTGGAGAGCCCTTCCCGGGGAAACTCACTGTCTCTATATTGTGTCCCAAGGAAGGGAGGCGCAGCTGCGTCCCGGCAGTCCGTGGTGACACCGAGAGTCCGCGCTCCCAGACATCCCTGTGGTATTGTGGAGGGGCCGAATCCCCGGCTTTGGCTCTTCAGATAATTAGTCCTCTTGGTCTTCAAAGCTGTCCGTTGCTCCTGGGGCGTGGGGACATGAATTTTTAGCAGCCTTTTCTTATCTCCCAAACCCATTTGGATGTGATGGGTTTTACTTCTGTTGATTCAACTCCATCTCTAAAATGTTCTTGGAGACTGTACACATAATGGGCTAGGGAGGGACGGTCGCACATTCTGGCCACATGTTCAGATGGGGATGCACTTCTAAATTTAACCCCGCCTGGCCTTGATTATTTTTTTTAATGTTTCCTCCTACTACCATTTTGTCCTAATGATCTATTTACTCCTTCCACTGTCTGTCTTTCCTCAATAACCCTCCTCTCAGGCTTCCTGTTGTTTTTTTCCTGGACTTTGTCGCTGTCCAAGACTTGTGATTGTTTGGTTGCCTTATCTTCATAGCTTGATCCACTTTTGTTGGCGTTTTTTTTTTTTTTCCCTCTTCATAGCTTGATCCATTTTCCGCAGCATGTTCTCAGTTACCTGAGCTCAGGAGCCACTGCCTGCACCCAATACTAAAGTCATTGTTTCACGAAGGCCGTTTCTTTTTTTCTTTTTATTTATTTTTTTAAATTTATGTGCATTGGTGTTTTGCCTGCATGAGGGTGTCAGATCCCCTGGAATTGGAGTTACAGATGGCTGTGAGCTGCCATGTGGTTGCTGGCAATTGAACCCAGGTCCTCTGGAAGAGCAGCCAGTGCTCTTAACCACTGAGCCATCTCTCCAGCCCCACGAAGGCCGTTTCTGTCTCATTTGCTGTGTTTCCTTCTGTGCCTCGCGAAGGCTCTGCTGGAGGTCCTGGCGCCAGCTGCCACCCCAGGTGTCCCTGGGCCTCCTGGACACAGCTGGGGCACACTGCCACCCCAGGTGTCCCTGGGCCTCCTGGACACAGCTGGGGCACACTGCCAGCTCGCACTGCATTTGCCCTTCTCTCCCAGCCATCATCACTATTTTTGTGCTCTGGAATTGTCCCCCTGCCTCCGATCTGTGTCTCCAGCCCATCCCACCCCTTATTATTATTTTTTTCATGTTTGCTTCATTTGGTTTCCGATTTTCTTTTAAGGCACAGCCAGATTCTTTTGTTTTTTTTTCCTTTTCAAACCCAAGAGAAAACTTACCACAAGAAGATTCTAGTAGTTCGAATCTTCACAGCCTTTGTGTTTCTAGGAGGTGTCTGGGGGCTGAGCTGCTGCAGGGCAAGGCAGTG